TACTGTTTTGGAGGCATGTCGTCTTTTTCGTGCAAACGTTGCAGGTCCTCCCGTGCCTCAGCTGTATCTTTTGTCTTCCCATACACGCCCAAGAAGCCTAGCAGGTTCACGCAAAGGTTCTTCGTCACGTGCATCACGTCGATCGAAGAGCGGACCTCTAGGTCTTTCCAGTAGGGTAGGTCCCAAAATATAGATTTCTTCTTCCACATGGGTGCGTGTCCCTCAGCGTCACTCGGAACAGCTAGTCCGCTGGGACCCTTTCCAAAGATTATGTGTAAATCATTGACCATAGCAAGTACGTGATCACCGATACGCATGGCGGGCTTCTTCCGGTGATCTGCCTCGCCTTTGAAATGCTTGCGTTTCTTTCGACATTGATGGTTGGTCGGAAGAAATCGATGATGGCCCAGGTACACATTCTTCCTGCATTTGTCCAGGTATATACTTTTGGTGTCAGCTAAACAGTGCGTGCATGCGTGGTATCCCTTGTTTGTCTGTCCTGAAAGGTTACTGAGAGCGGGCCAATCGTTGATGGTTACAAACAGCAATGCGTGCAGGTTAAATTCCTCCTATCTGTGCTCATCCCACGCACGTACACCGTTTCCATTCCACAGCTATAAAAGTTCTTCAACTAATGGCCTTAGGTACACATCAATGTCGTTGCCGGGTTGCTTAGGGCCTTGGATGAGAACTGGCATCATAATGAACTTCCGCTTCATGCACATCCAAGGAGGAAGGTTATACATACATAGAGTCACGAGCCAGGTGATGTGATTGCTGCTCTGCTCCCCGAAAGGATTAATGCCATCCGCGCTTAAAGCAAACCATACTTTCCTTGGGTCCTTTGCAAACTCATCCCAGTACATTCTCTCGATTTTCTCCACTGCGACCCGATCAGCGGGTGCTCTCAACTTCCCGTCTTTCTTACGGTCCTCACTATGCCATCGCATCAACTTGGCATGCTCTCCGTTTCTGAACAGACGTTTCAACCGTGGTATTATAGGAGCATACCACATCAACTTCGCAGGAACCCTCTTCCTGGGAGGCTCGCCGTCAACATCACCAGGGTCATCTCATCTGATCTTATACCGCAATGCACCACATACCGGGCATGCGTTCAGATCCTTGTACGCACCGCGGTAGAGGATGCAGCCATTAGGGCATGCATGTATCTTCTGCACCTCCAATCCTAGAGGGCATACGACCTTCTTTGCTGTGTTCGTACTATCGGGAAATTCGTTATCCTTTGGAAGTTTCTTCTTCAATATTTTCAGTAGCTTCTCAAATCCTTTGTCAGGCACAACATTCTCTGCCTTCGACTGCAGCAATTCCAGTACGGTATCGAGCTTTGTGTTGCCATCTTCGCAATTGGGATACAACCCTTTTTTGTGATCCTCTAACATGCGATCGAACTTCAGCTTCTCCTTTTGACTTTCGCATTGCGTCCTTGTATCGACAATGACCCGGCGGAGATCATCATCATCGGGCACATCGTCTGGTTCCTCTTGATCTTCAGCAGCTTCCCCCGTTGCAGCATCATCGGGCACATCGTCTGGTTCCTCTTGATCTTCAGCAGCATCACCGTATTCAGGAGGCACATAGTTGTCATCGTCCTCTTCTTCTTCGCGGCCGTCTTCCATCATAACCCCTATTTCTCCATGCATCGTCCAAACGTTATAGGTGGCATGAAACCCTTGTAAAGCAGGTGGATGTGAAGGATTTTCCGGTCAGAGTAAGACTTCGTATTCCCACATTTAGGGCATGGACAACACATAAAACCATTCTGCTTGTTTGCCTCAGCCACTTCGAGAAAATCATGCACGCCCTTAATGTACTCGGAGGAATGTCTGTCACCGTACATCCATTGCCGGTTCATCTGCGTGCATTATATATAATTATGTGTTCAAAAGTAAGAAAATTAGACAAGTATCTATGTAAAGTAAGAATTTTTTTCTTTCAGAAAGAAGATAAGACCAAGAGGCTCACCACGGTAGTGCCGGCGACGAGATCGGCGCGGGCGATCGACGGCGGTGAAGACGGAGACGGGGCGTGACGGACCGCTAATATAAACCTAGACAAATCTTGGGGAAAATGGAGCTCGGAGATCGAGCTTCGAGAGGAGAAAGCTTAACTAGTGTGGCTCGGTCATTTCAGCGAACACCTCATGTGGTTAGATCACCCAATGCCCTCCCCCTCGCCGGCCAGCAAAAAACAGAGCACTGTGGAGTGCTCTGCTGCGGCGATGGGGTATATATAGGCAACTCATTTGTCCCGGTTCGAGGCTTGAACCGGTACTAAAGCTCCCCCTTCTGTACCGGTTCTAGGAACGAACCTGGACCAATGTATGTAGGCCAGGAGCGAGGACCATTGGTCCCGGTTCGTGCCTAGAACCGGGACCAATGCCCACGAGGTCCCGGCCGGCCCCCTGGGCTCACGAACCGGGACTAATGCACCCCATGGGTCCCGGTTTGTGCGGAACCGGGACTAATGGGCTGGCCAGGCCCGAACAAAAGCCCTGTTTTCTACTAGTGAACTAAATCTAGAGGCACCGATTTGGGTCCACGAATAGACGTCGGTCCCCGCCTTAGGGGGTGTTTGGTTGCAAGGGACTAGACCTTTTTTAGTCACAGGAACTAAAGAAAAAAGACCCTTCAGTAGAGTCTTTTTTCTAGCCCCTTAAGGAAAAGTCCCTCCTATTTAGTTATATGGGGACTAAAAGGGACCTTTTCTAGTCTAGTCCTTATAACCAAACACCCCCTTAGTCACCATAGGGAAATGGTGCATGTGATGATAGAGCGGGAGAGTACATCCTCGATGCAGCTACCGCGGAGTGCGACCATATCAGCATGGTGCTGGCAAGATGGCCTCACACTAGATCCACTTCTCTACTGGCTGGAATGGTGGCGCCTGCTGGTGCCAAGGTTATTCTAGTTGTTTTCGGAGTTAGCTTATTGAACCACGGAGAGCTGAGAAAAATGACCATTTGCTTCTTGTTCAGGTTTATTGAAGAGTGCTTCCAATTAATCTTAAGTTCCAAGCAAAACAGTCGTGAAAGTGATTTGTTTGTGATGGTGTTGAGAGGAAAACCGAATTATTTAACAGCAAGAGAGAACAAAGTGGTGAAAAATAATGAAAACCACAATAGGGCTAAAATCGTTCTTAGGGAGTCTGAGTTCACCACGCTAGCATATACTATTATAAGTAGAAGGATATTGTAACGTCCCCGAAAATACCACCATTAGTGTTTCATCTTGTTTTTATTTGTGCATCATCATGACATCATCATCTATCACCTGGCATTTTTATTAAATCCTAAATATCATTTCGTGCAAACCCTATTTTTCTTTTACAAAACTAATCCTAGGTTTTAAATAAATCACTCATCCGCTCCTTTCTATTTTAAATAGAACCCAAAATAACAATTTAGGAATATTTTTGAGATATTTTAAATCAAAATAATTTTGCTGAAAATGTTTGCAAACATTGCTCCCCTTCTTTCCTTCTTTCCTTCTCTATGGCTTTAATCTTGTCCCCTTACTCACGAACAAGGGTAGACAACTGTTCGTCACACATTCGATTGGCAACAAACAATAACAGGTGTATCCACGAAACAACTCTATTCCTTGTAATGGAAAAGAGAGAAACTGTGATTCATAACTTGTTTATGCATCATCATTACATCGTGTTCTATCACCTCAAGTTTTGTTAAACCTTAAATAACATTTTTTAAGTGGCAAAAAGGTTTTTTTTTTCTGTTAAGCATGTACAAAAAATAATTTGGCAACCGGCACCACTCCAATTTTCTAAAAATTATAGAAATTTGAATTACAAATGTGCTCTAGTTTGGTCATAAAATTGGAAAAATCCTTTTAAAGTACCAAGTAGGATGCTATGCAGTATACACACAGGAAATTGAAAGATTCGAGCCTTTTATAGGAATGACAATGCCGACAATTTTGGACCCATTCGAAAAAAATCAAAGAAATAAAGAAAACCAAAAAAAAACAAGGCAAAGGGTCCTTTTAGATGACCTACTCCCTCCGTTCCTAAATATTTGTCTTTTTAGAGATTTCAAATGGACCGCCACATACGAATGTATATAGACATATTTTAGAGTGTAGATTCACTCATTTTGCTCCGTATATAGTCGCTTGTTGAAATCTCTAGAAAGACAAGTATTTAGAAACGGTGGGAGTAGTTGCCAAGAAAAATACAAAACCCGAGTTATAATTTTTTGTAAAAAAATCACACCTTTGGAAAATTACAAAACCTGAGTTATGAAATCTTGATTTGAGTTTTGTTCATGTTCACAACTTTGGACAGGCATCCTATAGCTGTTTGCCACACGGCTGGCCAATATAAGCCGCCTCAGCACCTCCGACATCTCTTGCCTACCACACATTTGCTCTTTCCTCCTCTCCCTTACCGTCTCGATTTGGCACTCTTTTTGTATCCAGTACACTTACCTTTTTTTAGAGGACGGTACACTCACGTCTTCACCCACCAAAAGCTGATTTTTTGGGCCCTAATGGCATGGAAATCTGGTGTAGCCCATTCGGGAAGAAAGAGGTCAAACCGTCAAAGGAGACCACAATAAAGGCTGTTCTAGTGTCATGAAGGAATGCACAATAATTGATATGATAGTTTTATCTTAAACCTTGCATGTAATTTAGAGATGATAATAAAACATGTATACAATGAATTATCTCTTAGTTTTATCTAAGATAACTAGCTATTCCTAAAATCATGGTGACACATATTCCTAAAATCAAGGTCTTGTACGTACGGATTGATTAGTTTGGTTAGCCGTGTCCAAGTACTACTAGCAAAGTTCTAACATAATGTCGTCGAAAGTTTCCGCCAGAGTAGGTGTGGCTCGTCCATAATTTAGAGTAATATACATTTCCGTGTGAGCTACCAAGTTAAAATACGAAAAAAAAAACATGAAAATAGTAAGGACAAGAACAACAACGGGAGAAGAACAATAATGTTTGGGTGGACTAGTGTCCACCGCGAGCAACTGCATAGAACGTTTGCATCACTTGACATGCGATGACGATGACAGCCATGAGGAACGCCGCAGTGATCTCCCAGCTCTGGCCGTGGCGGAACGCCCCTATGAGTCGTTTCGCACGGTTGTAGAAGCGGTTCTCTAGCTGGTGCCACATGGGCTTGAGGTAGTTCCTGTCCAGGTCGTCGATGTCGATGACCACCCCGTTGCAGAGACCAGCCAAGTCTTTAGAGACCTGCTCGTCGTTGTCCAGGAAGTGGTCGACGATCCCTGCCCTCCGCAGGAGCTGGACGTCCTCCGCCGTGCAGGCCAGCTGCGACATGAAGAGGCAGTACGCCGTGACCGGCCTCCGGTGTGCTTGCTCCTCCAGCGCCATCAGGTTGCGAAGGATCGTCCACGTGTTGCTGTCGATACGCAGGCGAGGGATCCACAGCGTGCCTCGTTCAAGCTGCACGTCCAAGACAGAGGACTCCACGCCGTCCTGGAAGTCCCGGCGCATGAGCCGAACGTTGGCGTACCTGCTGTACTCTGCCGCCCGGCGCCACCGGCCCGTCACCACGGTGCCGCACATGGCCGCGCTCTTGGTCGGCTGTAGCGTGGGACGGAAGTAGGCGTGCACGAGGTGTAGCAGGTGAGAACACGTCGGCGGCGGCGGCCGGGGCTTCCTGCTGATGAAGAGCTGCTGCTGCAGTAGCTCCTGGATGGGCATGGCTATGTAGTCGAGGACGGAGGTGGTGCCTCCCGTGACACGCTCGTGGATACCCTGGAGGAGGAAGAAAGGGATCTGGTTCTCGCGGAGGAAGACGGCGTCGCGTACCAAGGTGTTGCGGCTGACCGGATGTTCATAGTCATCAGCTGGAGCTGGAGGAGCGCGGTTGCCGGACATGTAGTCGACGAAGAAGAGGAGAAGATAGCACGCGTCGTGCAGCAGCATGCTCGACGACTGCTCCGGCGTCATGTCGCCGAGCCCGCCGCCGGAGGTGTAGAGCTCCCTTGCGAGGGGCTCCAGCTTCTCCATCACGCCCGTGAGGCCACCTTCCGTATGTTCCTCGGACAGGCTTTGCAGGAAGCCGGCAGAGAGCTTCTTCGTCTTCTCGATCCATGGAGACGAGCGGCTGCGGTGGTAAGGGCCGATTGGCACGTAGTGCGGCGCATAGCTGTCTTCGTCGACGACGCGGCGGAGTTGCTCGCGGACCTTGGATATGGGGACACCACTCATGTCAGCTTCGTTTTGGCAGGGCATTTTTCCGTCCATCCGTGACGGCGTCCGACTCGGCATTTCAGAATCCTCCATCTGCCTGCAAGAATCATCGAGTAATTAATAGTGCCTCAACCTTATTTGCTATTTCACTCTTTATTTTAAAAATTCTCATACTCCATGTATTTTCATTAATGCATTATATTTAGATGCTGCTCCATGTCATCATGTATGATCCTTGTAGTCCTTTGCTGTGGATAAGAGGCAGGCCGTCGATTGTTCTTTAGCACCAGGTATCATCATTATGCATATCATCATGCGCCCGATCTGAAGGAAAAAAAACTTACAAGACCGGATCTACATGTTCATCACTCCATGTCTTTTTGGATCTCAAAGCAGCATTCTTCCCGGATCTATTCTTTTTGCGATTTCATCTGCTCTGCCATCTCTTTGTTGGAGCCATATCGAGCAGGTCAGCCCTAGAGTGAGTAACCGTCCTTCGCCCTGCCTTGGCGTAGCATGGCCTCTTGCAGTAGTTTTTGGTCTTGGCTTTTTGTTTTGTTTTGTTTTGGGATATGATGCATTCTAGCTTGATTTGGCTCCTTCAGCGAGGTCCATGACGACCGAAAGGATGACACTTCATTCAGGCAGTCATAAGGAATAAGATTAAATGGTAAATAGTAAATGGAAATGGCTAGATGCAAGTTTTGGGAATGTTTCATCTGATTTTTCCTAGTTGCAATGGCATCGAAAATGGGTGGGCTAAGGGCTCATAAGAAAGAAAAATCCATGTGGGTTGTACCGAGTTTTAGGGTTTCATAAAAGGCTGTGACTAGATCTCAGTTGACTGAGACTTAATCAAGTCTCAGTCAAGTGATATAGTATGTAAAAAGAAAAAGAAAAAATTGAATTTTTTTTGCACGAATCTCCATGCAAAATCAATGGAAGATAGCATCGACTGAACGAAGTCTCAGTCGACTGAGACTTAGCAAAACTGTTCATTATGAAGGCGAATTTAATGCGGATCTAATACATTGGTATATAGGTCTATTCCATAGCGAGAGACGGTAACATTGCCAGAATGAATGATAATGGAAGCAAGCAATGCACACCACCAAGTTAACAAGACAAATATAGTCTCGTTGGTGTTTGGACACTTGCCGGTCTCACCTAATCCACGTTGAGAAAGCAGACGAATCGACTTGTTGGATGGTGACAGCTTTGCAGCACTTCGTATCAAATTCATTGTCCACGCGTGAGAGTCCAGCATCTACATGGAAGCAGGATGAATTAGTGGATATGCATATGCATGGCATTACCAACGTGCAGTGTCTGCTTCTAACAAGTCTGTTGACGATGGCATGCCGGTGAGCTTAAACTCGGTTTGAAAGCTAATCAGTTGCAACAAAAAAAGGCAAATTAGTGCTAGGCCTATCTTGCGTGTGTTTTTCCCCCGACCAACCGCATGCCCGCGAAAATTTCACAGCTCATGCTGATATCTCTCATTAATTGTTAAATGTGAAAACTGCAAAATGATTTATCTCCTAAACATGTAATTTGTTTAGTTATCCCGTTTCAAAACTATATCTCGTGTGGCTACGTTTCGGCGAATTTTTTTGTTGCACCAGTTATTAGATTACAGTATTATGGTTCATAGACTAAGAAGGAAATTACCATGCTAATAGTTTATTGTTACTACATATTTGTTTTACATGGTTTTAGACTTTAGTGTTATGAAGGAGTATTTTGGATCGGTGTAAGTTAATACTATTCAGGAACCTGGCAACCAAATAGTGATAATCAGGTAGTACTGGCTAATTCCCTTCCTATATATATATAATCTTGCAATTAAGTGTATTGACAAAGAAAAAAACGAAATAAAAGGGAAAAAACAAGATGAAAAGAAAAACGAGAAACAAATCCAAGGGCTATCATGTGCTAGCGTTGGAACTGCCGCTTCTCGATCGGTCCAGTCAGCGCAAATGAAATCCCAAGCAGGGTCGTGTATATAAGTATATGTAGACATGCATGCATGGCTTACCTCGCGCCATTAGACAGGACAACCCGAGAGCAGAGCGCTGGACGATATCCCGGCAACGAACGCTGCTCCTTCGTATCTATCTGTGTTGTTGTCGTTGCAACGCTGGTCTATATAGCAGACCTCCTCCAGTAGGAGCGCATGAAGAACGAATCTCACTCTGCGTCTCGGGTGCAGGACAGAGCGGGCTGCACGCTACAAGGCGACACGTTAATTACGGACGTCAGGACGAGACAGCACCCTAGGATTCCATCTCGCTCCTCGCTCCTCACGTTAATCCACGTTGCTACTGCCCAAGTGGCGGGCGGCTGTTAGCGAGAAAAGTAGAGTTTTACGACCAGTCAACAGTGCATGGAAACCTGTGCACTCTCGACGTTAGGCTGGTCATAGTGGGGAGTAACTTAAACCTAGTAACATGTATATGTTACTAGGCTATGTTACTACCTCTATAGTGGGTAGTAACATATATGTAGTGTCATGCATCACTTTATTTATTACTTCATAGACTCATTTAGCATTGGAAACCGCTAGGTGATGGTAACATATTATGTTACTCTACTTATCTCTTTCCTCATTAACTACTTAACACATCATCACTTTTGCTTATGTGGCATCTATGTTACTATTTATGTTACTCCCACTATGACCAGCCTTAATCCTGCTCTACTCTGAGTCCAACATGCATGCATGTACTGTATTGCCAACGGACCGGATAGACATGTGCAGACCGTGTATAACATGGTTTGGCGTACGCGAATCCTCCAGCTCTCCGCTTCATGGGTCGATGTAGCGCTGATTAGAACAATGGTCAACTTGGATGTTTCAGCTTTTTTGTTCTTGCTTCAAAGAGCCACAAAAAGATGCTAATCTGGGCGAATACTTTTCGGGCGCTTTTCTTTAGAGGTTTCAGCAAGAATTGTATGTTCCCTGCGCTCTTCTATCATTTGACTACTCTAATGGATAGGATGCTCAAGGATGCAATCACAGATGGAAATGTGTTGGAGAGCCCAAACACGCATAGAAAAGAAAGATACACCCTCTCTCTCTCTGCGGTGCATCGCAATCCGAGGGTCAAATTCAAGAAAAGATTCCATGACAAAGAATGAGAGACATCTTTTGGAATAGCAGAGGTCTAGCGGACTTGGCTAAAAGAAGGTTTTTGGCAGAAACATCTAGAGAGAAAAGGTTAGACTTTATTGCTATACTCGAGTCGGGTAGAGATAAGTTTAGTTCGTAATTTCTTGGAACTATATCCCGTGGTTCATATTTTGATCGGCATTGTTTATCACCTCAGGGAAGATCTGGCGGGATCTTACACGGACTTAATTGCGAAACTCTGAAGGTGGGTAATGTGTCTGTGGGTGAGTATGTTGTCAAATTTCACGCGAGGTCAAAAGTTGATGGTTTCAGATGGGCTCTGGTTGCAGCGTATGGCGCAACACAACCTGGGTTCAAACCCGACTTCCTGGCAGATCTTGTAAGGATTTGCGGGGAGGAAAGGTTGCCCATTTTGGTTGACGCTGATTTCAATATTATTAGGCGGAGAGAGGAGAACAATAATGATAACTTCGACGGGATGTGGTCTTTTGTGTTTAATGCGATCATTGAGAGTATGGACCTCAGAGGGATTGATCTCACAGCCAGACAATACACTTAGGAGGAAAACTTGGAGAATCCAACGTATGAGAAGTTGGATCGAGTTCTAGCCAGTGTGGAACGGGAACAAAAGTACCCTCTCGTGACGGCGCAACTGTTGGAATTAACTATGTCCTAGAGGCAATAATATTGTATTTTTATATTTTCACTATTGGAATCAGAGAATTTGCCATCAGCCAGCTCTTTGTCGTCTGCTAGCGGACGGCAAAGAAGGTCTTTGCCGTCTGCTTCTAAAAAACGGACGGCAAAGAACTGGCTGAAGACAAAGATATTATTTGCCAACAGCCAATTCTTTGCCATCCACAAGTATATGGAGTCAATTGTAGCCTTTTTGATAAGTAAGAATGTCGAACCCAAGGAGGAGCAAAAGGAAATGACAAGTGGTTTTCAGCAAGATAATGTCTGCAAGTGCTAAAATTGTAAGTAATAGAGTATTTTGGTAGCAAGATAATTTGTAACGAGAAATTAACGGTAGTAGTAACAAAAGTGCAGCAAGATAGCCCAATCCTTTTGAGGCAAAGGACATGCCAAAACGGTCTCTTATGATAAGCAAAGTGTTCTTGAGGGTACACGAGAATTTCATCTAGTCACTTTCATCATGTTGGCTTAATTCGTGTTCGCTACTTTGATAATTTGGTATGTGGGTGGACTGGTGCTTAGGTGTTGTTCTTACTTGAACAAACCTCCTACTTATGGTTAACCCCCTCGCAAGCATCTGCAACTATGAGAAAAGTATTAAGAATAAATCCTAACCATAGAATTAAACTTTTGGATCCAATCGGCCCCGTACGGAATAGCGCATAAACTAGGGTTTAAGCTTCTATCACTCTCGCAATCCATCATCTAATAACTACTCCACAATGCATTCCCTTAGGCCCAAATATGGTGAAGTGTCATGTAGTCGACGTTCACATGACACCACTAAGGGAATCACAACATACATATCATCATGATTACTTGCAACATGATTTCTCCCGTGACCTCAAGAACAAAAGTAACTACTCAGGAATGATAATCATGCTCAAGATCAGAGGGGTATTAAATAGCATAATGAATCTGAACATATAATCTCCCACCAAATAAACCATATAGTAATCAACTACAAGATGTAATCAACGCTACTAGTCACCCACAAGCACCAATCTATAGTTCTGGTGCAAAGATTGAACACAAGAGATGACCTAGGGTTTGAGAGGAGATGTTGTTGTTGAAGATGTTGATGGAGATTGCCCTCCCCAAGATGGGAGAGTTGTTGGTGATGATGATCACGGTGATTTCCCCCTCCGGGAGGGAAGTTCCCCCGGCGGAATTGCTCCGCCGGAGGGCAAAAGTGCTCGTGCCCAGGTTTCGCCTCGAGAAGGCGGAGCTTCGTCCCGAAAGTCCTCTCCTTATTTTTTTTCTAGGTCAAAATGACTTATGTACCAGAAGAGGGGCACCAGAGGTGGGACTGGGTGAGCACAACCCACCAGGGCGCGCCTGGGCTCCCTGGCGCGCCCAGGTGGGTTGTGCCCACCTAGTGGGCCCCCTCTGGTACTTATTGGCTCCAAAAATCCTCATTTATTCCATAAAAAATCCTCATAAGGTTTCAGCTCATTTGGAGTTGTGTAGAATAGGTAGCCTGACGTAGCTTTTTCAGGTCCAGATTTCCAGCTGCCAAAATTCTCCCCCTTTGTGCATACCTTGCTTATTATGAGAGAAAATTCATTAGAATTACTCCAAAAAGCATTATTATGCAATAAAACAACATAAATAACAGTAGGTAAACATGATGCAAAATGGACGTATCAACTCCCCCAAGCTTAGACCTCGGTTGTACTCAAGCGAAAACCAAAATCGAAAAACATGTCCACATGCTTAGAGGGAGAGGTGTCGATAAAAACAAAAATATGGAGGAAATAGCAGCATCATGTAACTTATTATAACAGCAACAAACTTTATCATAAAACTTCTATCATAGACTTCTCATGAACAAGTAACAATTCATCACAATATCGAAGTATAAAGTATAAACTCTATTGGAAACCAACAAACTATGTTCTCAATCAACTTTGCAACTACAATTCATTATCTTTTCAGGAAGGGTCACATATCGGAGTCTTTAGGAAAGTCCACATACTCAACCATCATTTAGTCTTCTATGATTGCTAACAATCACCGCGTACACATGAGCAACATGTTTCACCCGGACACATAGAAAGATATCGGCTTATAGTTTCTCCTCCCAACATATTCATCTCAAGGGTCATGCCAACAATAATAACTCATGCGACCCATATTCAACTGGATATATGTGCCTAGATCTTTCCCCATCACATGATGTTTGCCAAAGGAGAAAATAAAAATAAATAGAGAGAAGAACTTTAACTCTTGCATGAAAGTAAATACAGAAAATAAAAGATAGGCCCATTTTACCTAAGTATGCTTACTTCTTCTTCTTCTTCTTCTTCTTCTTCTTCTTCTTCTTCTTCTTCTTCTTCTTCTTCTTCTAGTATTCTTCTTCTAACTTTCTTTTTTCCCATTTTGCAGATTTCATTCACTTCACGGAAGCTTGCATGGATGGAGTGCTTGTTTCCCCTTCCTGCTTTTCTTTTGTATCAATGAACAATGTGGAACTTGTTATATGGATGCATGTAACTATGTGTTGGATGAACAATGTGAAACTATTGTAATATGTATGGATGGAACTATGTGTTGGTTATGTATGTATGATGAAACTTGTGTGTTGGATATGTCATATGTCTGCTATGCCTGTGATTATATATATATATATATATATATATATATATATATATATATTTGTGTGTGTGTGTGTGTGAAATTGCTTGGATATAAGAAAAAAAAGAAAAAAGAGGCAATGCAGCCTCCTTGCCGTCTGCCACCGATCACAAAGGGCTCTTTGCTGTCCGCCACACATGTCAAAGAGGCCACGTGGCAGCAACCTCTGCAACGTGGGAGCTATACCATTTGGTTACTTTGCCGTCCGTGGCAGACGACAAAGGGGAGGGCATGTTTGCCGTCCACTGGCAGACGGCAAAGGTTGCCGTTAGCCACCTAACGTGGCTAACGCCTGTTAGTTACTGTCCATGTTCTTTGTCGTCTGCCATGGACGCCAAAGGCAGAAGAAGCAGACGGCAAAGAACCCGTTTATCGTCACCCTCTTTGTCGGGCAGGTTTGGCGTCGGTGGCAGACGACAAAGGGCTTTGCTGTCCTCTTTTGGTGCCTTTTCCATCTGCCATGGCAGACAGCAAATAAGCTTTTTGATAACTAAGAGTTTATATTTCATGCTATAACTCTTATGATTCTGGAATGTGTGATTCAATGGAAAACTCATATGCACGTGTGTAATGATAAACGGT